ATTGGCGCGGCCTGCTCTCATTTATCGCTTTGAGGGTTTATATTTTACAATGAATTGGAACCCTGAGTTTTACGTTTATAACACTTGTATACAAAGTTGCTTTCGTACATGTCCACTGGCAATTGAGACAGTGCAACTTTTGTTTGTAAAGGTGGATGAGGACGAGGGGGATGGGTACATCCTTCTATCCACATCCGCTCATGGACGTGATATAACATTGCACATCCACCCATAGATCAGACACGTGTAGCTCTCGATTAATCTCTCTCCATGGATGGACGTGACTCCCATTGTCATGTCCTTGCACAGGCATCCACAAAACCTTGTTTTCTCTTTCTAAAACCTCTCTAAGGTGTTCTTTTTCTAAGATCCCAACAAGTTCTAAAGGCTTTCCTTCGAGACGAGGACGTTACATCCGCCCGCTACCAGCACTCGATCAGAGTATAGAAGGTAAACTAGTCATGCAATCACAGTAGTTTAATTTAATTAAATTCAGGCGACCTTTAAAAATTAGACTTCCCAATAATTCAATTCACAATCAAACAAAGCTACAATGACTAATAAGTTTATAAACACAAAAATTCAATAAAGGCATGCTAACACATTAAACAATTTAAACATGCTGCCATAATCACTCGCTGCTGACCAGTTTAGAACACTCATGTTGCCATAATATGCCAACAAATCAGCCTTATTAATTATTATACAAACCTTGTAAAACTCAACTGGCTGGTCAGAAATTGGTCATCTCTTGTTGGCTAATGAACCCTAGGCTTATTTTAATATTGTCATGTCATTGGTTGGCTTAATTGTTTTATTTTTCTTCATTTTCTTCTGATTTAAATGACGGTATATTTGATGTTGGGAGCCTTCCTAGAGTCATTTTCAGTGGCATCTGACAGTCTTTTCTCTCCAAGCATTTTTATGTTTCCGAGACATTTACATTTATTCTCTTCTTTCTAAAAGTAAAAACCGGTGCTTCTGACCACTATAATTTTCGCTTCCTGTGTTATAGTACACTGCATTTAAAATTTTGGTTTTCAACTCGATGCATTGAACTCTCTTCTAACGCTCTGGCACGCTCTCCTTTCAAATTTCAAATTAGAGCCATCCTTTTTCCCATGCGTAATGGATTTGTGAAACTGAGATGCGACGCAGACTCATCTCCATCAACTCTCGGTTCTTCAACTTCGATGTTCAGCTCTTCAACATTGGTTTTTTCAAGGCAGCGGACGGGTCAGGATTTGAATAATCTGACTTCCAGCAACTATGCAGTCTCGTGAATGAAAGGTTGAGTTGATAATTTCTTTTCCCTTCAATTTGCTGCTTAACGATCGCTTCAAGAACTATTAAAGTTGTTTTAGATTTTCTTGACGAAGAACCGCTAGCAACCGGGGAAAAGCTATATAATTCGTCTGCCGTAATGGTAATGGGATACCGTGGCAATTAACTCAACGATTTTGCTGCCACCGATACATGGATACACAATGAATAACAATGCTTTTATGGTTGTAGTCACTGCCTTTTATTATTCTTTTTACTGCCACTCTTCCCCTGTTTGCGATTTTTCGTTGTTTACTTCTTTTAGCCATGTCTTTTGTTTCATTTTTTTTTTGTACTTGCATTCCCTTTTGACTGTAGAAGGGTTGAACAGTGGTGATGTATAGGTTTTGAAGGTATGTTTAATGGAACCCAATGAAGATATATTTGAAGTATTTTGATGCCTTCTATCATTTCTTCTCTTTTAAGAAACTCCTAATGGAGTACGTAGTAGCATGAAATCATATTAATGTTGATGGGTCCAGGATATTACTTGCATATTAACAATGTTTTCTACAACTAAATTAGTACATGGAAAACTTACACGTATGTCGTTAGCAAAAGAATTTATATTTATTTGTTACCCTCCACTTCATTGTTGGTATAATTTATTTTGTGTCACAATGGCAGGGCTAATATGACTTTCAGTATATAATATAAATTATTGTAAATTACATTGGTTAGTTCGTGTTTTAACAGAGCAACGTGATGCCTTGCCACAAGTTTCTTCTCTTCGTAACGTGAGAAGGTTGGTTTATCATGTAGTTTATCTTTCAAACTGTCTTGTAGAGGATTTAGTGTTGAATAAATATTTGAAACTTATTTTAATTCCGCCTTATTTTTACAGTTTGTGATCTTTTTTCTAATCTGGCAGGCTTTTGATGAGGCAATTTCTGAATTTGACACATTGGGTGACATTGATCATGCAATCTCTTCTCTTGGGTTTGTGTCTTTTTGTTCTCTCCTCCCTTCTTACTATTGCCCTGGTAGAGCTTCTCACCTAAACATTGCTGTTGCATTACCGTTGACGGCATGTCTGCTCTTCTCAGTTGGCAATGAAATGTATTTTTTCTCCCTCCTTTTGTCTTTTGTACCTTATTGAAATGCATCATCCTGTATTTGAAAAGATTTCATCTCCCAAATGACTCCTGAGTCCATACTTCATGTTAAATAAAGAAAGATTGGGTGATTGAGTTCTGTTATTTGTTTTTAAACTCCATCTTCAATAGAATTGCTTTCTCAATCTGATTCCTCACATTCATGTATTCTGTAATTTTTAATTTCACCTCATTTAAATGGTTATCAATAATGAAAATGATTCCCAATCTTCTATTATCTAATAATCTCCTTAGTTGGTGACTAAGTGATTGTTACTCATTATCTCACGTGCCTATTTCATCCCACAGTACATAGGTGCAAAGGACATCATGGATAATAATTTATTTATGATAAGCAATTTTTTTTTTAGGAAATTTTATGAGGAACCAAATAGATAAAGCAATTTAAAAGATTTTCAGAAAGATTAGAGATAACATCAGGAATTTTTATACGTTCAATTTTATGATGGAGCTTCTGGGTCATTGGTTGCGGGGTACTGGGTAATAAATCTTTAATTCTGAAGAAACTTGATCCAATCACTTATACCAGAATGAATTCAAATCCACAGCTGTCTATCTTTTTTCCATTGAATCTCACTAAAGTTGTTATTGTTGTTTGGTTCTTCAGGGTCCAAATTTTGGGAAATGGTGAGGTGATAATTAACCTTAGAAAGGTGATCCAAGTCTTGCTCCATCTATCTACAAGACACGAAGTCTCTGATTATGTTCTGCCTTAATCAGAACACCCAGCATGAATACCAAATGACAAAGACAGGAAAACCCAGCAAGAAAATCAAGATCATCAAAATTAATAAAAAAAAATAAAAAAAATACCTGGGTTACACAAGTGCAAATGGATTGAAGCACCAACGAAAACCATGCTTGAGGCACAAAAGCAAGATTGAAGCTCAGAGAAATGAAGCACGCATGAAAAGAAGAAGAATAAGAAGCACGGCCAAAATAAAAACCACATCACACGAGAAATAATTTTTGGGTTGAAGCACATGAAGAACGCAATGAAGCTTTTAGGTGTAGAAGATTTTGGGTTTAGAGCATCTGGGTTTGTAGTATGCGACGAAGTTTTCTAGGCTTGCAGAATTTGATAAAGCTTTCTAGGTTTTTATTCAGGGTTGGTTGAACGTTGTGTCTAAGGGAGAGGGCTTGTAGAATGGCGAAGATGCAATTTGAAAGTAATTTAATCTTCTGAAAGGTTTTCTAGATCAGTTACTTAAAGAAACCGTTGTAGAAATTATTAAATAATTTTTAATTATTTTTAATACTTTCTAGGCCTGTTATAAAGTCAAACGGCCAAGAAAGATAAAACGAATTTAATTACCACAAAAAAATAAACGTTTCGACACCAGTTGCCATGTCGGTCTAGAAAAGTAAAAATAATTAATTAAAAAAGAAAAAATTAAAATCCTTTTGAAAAGAAATTTTTAGACAACGGTTCTCATAGAAACCAGCTTAAAATTTTTACCAGTCTCATCAGTTATTTACAAAAATACAACCACCTCTATTTTCTAAACCATATGCATAAGAACTGGTTTGGAAATGGCGGTTTAAATGTCATATTTGTACTATCGTGTTTTTACTTTTACCGTACGAATTATTTTTATTTCTATATTTCAATTTCTTTATCGTTCATGACTTTAGATTGTAATCCACTGGAAATTTACTTTGGATGTTAACGTTTACAAATCCTTAAAATTATAAAATAAGAGAAAGTAATCTAATTGGTAAAAATATGTAACATTTATTATATTGACAGAAAAATTATGGTTACCAGCTGGTCACCAATAAAACTATAAAAAGAGAAATTTATATCCTATCTCCAGCTATAACCCTTGAGACTCTGGATTAGTAACTCAACTTTTATCATAATATTTAAATATGTCAACTCGATAAATTATTAAATTAATATTTTAATTAATTTAAAAAATATTTCATTTATAATTAATTTGATCTTCGACTATAATTTTAATAATTAATCCTTTTAATAAGTGTTATAACTAGTTCAAGTTTAATTTTAAGTACTTTATTTTTATAAAGGCCAAAGCAAATGGATTCTAGTTTGTAAGTGGGATGGCCCACATAGGATTAGAACTTTTCTTTGGCTAACTGGCCATGCAACTGTATCTCTTAACAGTCAGAAATCCATGCATGTGTCGGTTTGTCCAGATCACCTTGGAGACACAAATTATACAGGAGACCACTAGACTCTTGACAACTATAATCCATATAAGTGACCCATTAATTAACCCGTAATACTCATCCGTCAAATTTCTTTTGCTCAATTAACCATTTTCTTGGGGAGTTGATCAAGATAAATGAAAGAAACTCATTAACTAACTACTCAAGTTAGAAATTTATGGCAAACTTGATGAAAGAGGTCTTGATTAAATGGGCGTTAATTAATGTTTAACTTCATGTACGTGGTTTTAGTTTAAGGTATGAGTTGTATCTAGTCGGGAACCATTTTATAATGACCCAAAATATTTCTAGATTAAATGTAGAACAAAGTAAATCTCAGATTTTAGACTTGTAGAATTATTGAAGAGAAAACTACATGACCAGCCCGTGTCAAGCAACAGTACAAATGATTATTTATTTCTTCGAGTATCACATGCTTTTACAAACATTAATTCTTCATGAAAGAAACAAGTTAACAACTACATTTTGACAGGAACGGCTCTTAGAGGTTGAGCCTTGTGCAACGTAATCCCATAGGTTTGACTCATATCCATGTCCTCTGTCTTTAGCCCATTTGGGACCTCCCAATCGAAGTGATATATAAGAGAGGCCAACATAAAGGCAAGTACTCTAGAAGCCAAGGGCAATCCAGGACATATCCTCCTTCCAGCACCAAATGGAATAAACTTAAAATCATTACCCTTAAAGCCAATCTCACTTTCCAAAAACCTTTCAGGGACAAATGAATTAGGGTTTTCCCATATGCCTGGGTCTCTTCCCATAGCCCACACATTTGCTAAAAGCTGTGCGTTTTTGGGCACTAAGAAGCCACTTAACTCTACATCACAAATTGCCTTGTGGGGTACTAGAAATGGTGCTGGAGGGTGTAGGCGTAAAGTCTCTTTTAGTACTGCTTGTAGGTAAGGCAACATTGAGACTGTAGTCTCTTCAAGTTTCAAAGTATCACTTTTGTTACCAAGAACTTGTTGGAGCTCTATTCTGGCTTTTATCATTTTTTCTGGGTTTCGTATTAATTCTGCCATTGCCCATTCAAGTGTGCTCGATGTTGTGTCTGTCCCCGCCACAAATAAATCCTGAAATATCAAGCAATAATTACTTAAGTTAACTAATCAAATAGGCACACACATGCCATGTTAATTTCATTTAATTTTTTTGTGTTATCTCTCAAATATGTAACTTTAAATTATTTTAATTTCTTGCCTTCTTGCTTCCCTCATTTATAATAATGGTAGAGAGAAAAGACAAGAAATTAAAGAGGAAATCTATTTTAAAAAAAAAAATTAATAAGGATAGATAAGCTTTTATTTAATTGAATTGGTACAATTTTATTGGACAGATATAGCATGAATGAGATGATACTCTAGATCCCTGCAATTATTTCTCTATTACAAGGACATATTTTTTGTGATGAAGTCAGCATGCAAAATTTAAAAATACTTTGCTTTAGTTTATTCTATCTTGCTCTTAATATAAATCTAAATTAACATATTGATCTTGTAATGTACGTAATATTGCATAAATCTATATTATTTCTCCCAACAACCCTCAACCATTTTGAAAAAATAAGTAACTTACATATAAAGTGAATTATAGCAAGAAAACTTGGGAATTGAAGTTAATTCTTAATCTTTTTTTTTAGAGCATTGGGAACCCTATATTAAAAGGTGGGGCAATGTCCCCTCTGAATAATTTTTTCAAGAACAAAATTGTATTTCCGTCAAAGACCTATCATCTTTTTTATGATTTGCTTATATGAAATAGTTGTGGATTCCACACACAATGACAAGGTATTTTTACTTGTTTTGACCATATGATGTGGACCAAAGAAGTTGAAAGGGACTATATTAGGAACTAGACTTATTTTAGCAAAGAAAGCAGTAAAATGGGTCAAAATGCCTTATTATTATTGTGTGTCAGCTCTATAACTTTTCTATGTAAGCAAATAACAAATTAAAGAAGACAATGAGTCTTTGATGAAAGGGCAATTTTGCGCTTAAAGAAATTTCTTCATGGGGGATATCATCTTATCTTTTAGTACAAGGTACCTAGCACTTATAAAAAAAAAGTTTAGGACAAAAAATGATCTTTAGTTCAAAATTAAATTTAACTATTAATACTCACCATGAAAAAATGAATGATATCACCACGGCTCAATTGGGAAGAATTGTCTTGGATAAGATTGAGAAATGAATCCAACACATCATTGTAATCTTTGGACTCCATGTTCGAACTCCTGAGACACAATCTCTCTTCCAAAATATCATCAAAAAGCTTATACAATTTTTTATAGTAACCTCTCAACCTCGCACGAACGCCTTGTGGATCCAGAAAACTCAAAAAGGGAAACAGATCAGAAACATTAGCCCTCCCATTTTCATCTACGATCCCAATCACCAACTTCTTATACTCCTGAGTCTTATCAGAACCATGACAAGAAAAATCCATGGAGAAAAGCATATTCGATACTAAATTGAGAACTGTGTTAAAGAAAGCCTCAGCGAGATCTATAGCCTCACCTTTAATGGAATATTCACGAACATGATTGATTAAGTCCTCTACCTATTAGAGATTAAGAAGTTAAAGAAGTCTCACATCTAAAAATTATAATATAGATTAGGAATATAAAAAGTTTGGATATGTCTAATCAAATGACTAAATCTTTTTTAATGAAGTATACTACCCCAAGCATAATTAATATGAAGAGTTTAACTCTACCTTGTTTTGACGTAGAAACTGGGTGGAATCTAGCTTCAGAGTTGAAAAGACTTTCGTAACACCAGCTCGTCTAAGGGCTCTCCACTTAGGCGAAATGGGAAGCCAAGCTACGGAGACTTGGTGATGATCAAGAGCTCGAGCACTATCAGGGAAGGTTCGACTAGAGAAGTCTAGATCGTGTTTGTGAAAAGCTTCTCTAGCTATTTCTGGAGAAGAGATGACTATGGCGGTCCTTGTGCCTAACTTGAGTAACATAATGGGTCCATAAGATTTCGAGAGGTTCGTGATGGACAAGAGAGGGTCAGAGCCGAGCTCTAGGATGTTTCCAATAACTGGGTAGGGACGAGGACCTGGTGGGAGCCTGTATGAAGAAGACGATGATGATCGAACGAAACAAGTTGAGAACTCAAGGATAGAGGCTCGTTCGAGAGATTTACTAGAGGCTCCTTTGATGAATGCGATGCAGATGAGAAAAGATGCACAGAGAATGGACGTTAGAGCGAGGACTAGGAAATTGTCCATGGCTTCTTTCTTTCTCTTTTGCTCTGGCTAAACACTACTCGGCATCAAGAAGTGATATATTACTGTCTCTTTCTTTGTAGGGTTATTATACCACTTGATGAAAATTTCATTTTGTTTTCTCTTCTTTTGCTCGCCGAAGCGCAAAAAGCAGGTAATAGAGTCAAAAAGACAAAAAGTACATTTGACTATGTGGTCTCATTTGCAATGATGAGAATGCACAAACTTAATCATCTGATTAAATGTGGATGATTGAGATTATTGGCAGAATTCAAAATTTAACAAAGTAAAGTATATATATATATATATATATGGCTTGTTTGGTTTTGTTCTTTTTTTTTTAAACACTATTTTGTAAACTAATTCTTAATTTTTTAAAAAACAAAACAAATTATGAAAATCAGCTTGATTTATATGCGTTAATTTGAAAACAATTTTAGAGTTAAAAAACAACCCATGGTCGCTAGTGGTTAATGGTGATGGTATGATAGTGATTGGTCATATCTGCAGATAATTCACAATGGCGCTTTAAAAATGAAAATAGAAAACAAACAGTTTTAACTAAGATGTTTCCATTTAAAAAAAAAAGACAAAAATGAGAACAATTTTGAAAACAATTAAATCCAAAACACTTGCCGAAAAGTTTTTTCAGTCTTTTTTTTTTTTTGAAGACAGAAAACATTTTTTGGACCCATAATTTTTTAGATAAGATCAATGATTTAAATATTCTTTGTCATAGTAAAATGATTAGAAGCGACTCTTATATGAGTGAAATGGAGTCTAATTAATTAAATGGGTGCAAAAACAAATGTTGGTCCTAATACGTTTTAAATTAGATTGGCACAAGTCAGATCCCCTCACGACGATTGCCACATGCCATACATGCCATCTGTGTCGAATGGAACCGATTGTAAGTTTTTTTAGGTATAGATACAGTATTCGAAGATATAAAGAGGCAAAAAGGAAATTGGTCACCGATTTGGGGATAGATGGAAGGAACGTTTAGGTGTGTGGGTGTGTTAGTGGGTGAAAGTGGGTGATCAAATGATTACAAAACAAGAAGATTAATATAGATTCATAGTTCCAAAAAGAGTCTAACATCATTCTAATGATTTAATTATAGATTCATAGATTTGTTTTATATATTTATATAAACAAAATAACTAATATGTCAAACACGTGAATGTGGAAAAATATGGTGTTTTGTCTTGGTTTGTGGACATTTGATTCATTTATCCTTTCAGGCACTCAATAATCAATACAGCTAGCTAGTGCCATGTCGAAAGGATAAGGATTAAAGTACGAATCTTCTCCTAATAAAGTTTCTTTGAAGTATGATTGGTATTCTAAAATATTTAAAAGCACAATTTCACCCCAACGTTTTCAAAAATAGTACAATTTTTTCCTAGCTTTATGGTTTGACCACATTGACCATTTGTCACACCCTGATATTAAGGGTATGATTGACACAAAATATGAGATACACTCATATTTCATAATCCTTAATTAACCAAATATAATGATAAAATATCGATAAATAATCCCTACAAGTCAAAAAGTCTCTAGCATATATGTATATATATATATATATATATATTTATAAAGTTGGAAAAATCTTAAATATTCTGTAAAAATTTTGACAGAATTTCCCCTATAATTAACACCTCTCAAAATTTCTACAGGAGCAAAACCTGTTAACCAAATCAGAAAGGAGTTTAGCTCCATACCAATATATTTCACAATAACAAAATAAGACTAGAATCTAACTATGATATACGTGTAGTACTAAGTTACAATTTCATATTATAAAATATATTTACATGAAAAATAACTAATGCATGCTTCCATGGTTCAAAAAAACAATTGTGTCCCTTAGTGATTAGTAGGAGATGCAGGGTTAATTTCAATATCTGAGACTAAAGAAAATTTTTTTGATAACTAGCATCCCAATTCACAGTTGAAGGAAATAATAGAGAGTAATATCAATGAGCCAATTATAAATTTACTAAAATAATTAATTAAAAATAATATAAACCAAGAATATATAAATACAAATGAAATTATTAAAATTTCAAATTCCAAATTATTAAATTTCTACACATACTTAAACATCTTGGGATATATATATATATATATATATAATAGTAAAAAAATAGCAGTTTGCTTTTTGAGATCAAATTTAAAGAAAATAGTTTCAAAATCCCTTCTTTAGTGAGACTTAATCAGAACGATTAATAAGTATGGACATACAATTCACAAGGATAAGTAACATATCTAGTGTGGCAAGAAGCCACAAAATAGAAATATGCTCAAGCATAAAGCTCACAAATAACAAGCGTGGATTATATCCATAAAATTGCATCCTCTATTCCACATGTGTTGGCTAGCACGAGGTTAGTACCTCCAATGCACCATACTAGCTAGGTGTACTATATTGTGTCAAGGGCTAATGGAACTATCGTTAGCATCTAGCATTCTAAACTCAATTCTCCTAATTAAATCAAGTGTGCATGAAGTTGAAATATTCATTTAAAACCATTTCTTTCTAAATATAATATTCAGGTATCAAATTTTCCTTTCAATTTTTTAACATGCACGAATCACTGTGTTAATCACTATCATGTAAATTATAAAATCTAAACCACAGACATGCTTAGAATAAATAATCAATTAATAATGTACTATATTTAAATATTTCTTTGTAATAGCATAATTCTTAATGAAAACAAAACAAAATCTATAATCAACGAATTAATATAAAAGTGAGGTAAGTAAGAAGAATAGTATATATCATAAAAAATACAATTAACCAGAGTATTTATGCAATTTATAAAATTTTAATTGAAGAAATTTTATAAACATTTTGCAAGAAATTATTTGGAACACTATCCACTACTTAAAAGTTTTTCAAAAATTCTAAAACTTGCTTCTCTTATCTTTTCACTTTAGTTCTAATAATGCTCTTACTTTATTGACAAATAAATCATATTTCTAAAATTATTTATTAAGTAATTTGCCAAGTACTTAGTAAGCATTTAAATTCAATTGGAATAATATTAAAGATAATACTCTAATCAATTATGTTCCAAATAAAATTGAGTTAGTTAAACCATTCGACAAATCTCAATTCATTCTCATACCTCTTTGTGGCCCATTCTCAACTATAAATCATAAATCATATCAACTATTCTTATGTTTTCTTTATACTTAATAAAATACTATATTAATATCCTATGTAATCCTTTATTCTATTTTAGTATTTTTAAATTTCAATTAATAGCTCAAGCTACTTCTCACATATATATTCCTCTAGGCTATATTATACCAATTCAGTTAACATTATTTTCACAAATTTCTTCTTTCAAGTATTTTCACAAATATCTTGGTAGCATTTACATATGTTCACTACAGACTCAAATTTCATTAGTATCAATTTCTCATCATCCTTTAATTCTTAAGTCAAATTTGAGCTCTAATAAAGTATTTGAATTAATAGAGCTTCCCCCAACAAATTCCTTTAACAAAAATCAATTTTTAACTCTAAGGATACCAAATTCATCCATCTTTATCTTAATCTTAATTCTAAAATTTTCAATTTGAAATTAATTTCCCCTCCCCATTAAACGCACAAGGAAACAGAGTAAAGAACACGGGAAACATTTTACAATATCTACTGCTTAATTATACACACAAAATCAACGAGGAAGGGCAAAATTCGAAGGTCCTCATCTCAATTAACCATGGCTGAGCAAGAGAAAAATTTGAAATTCGTTCAAACCAGAACAACATCACGAACAGTGAAGAGGAGAGAAGGGCGAGTTCCACACTCCAGCACATAAATGACGCCATGAAGAAGGAAGAAGATGACATCACTGAGCAGTCAAAGAGACGAGAAGAAGAAGGGATCAGCAGTGAAGTAGATGAAAAAAAAAAATAAGAAAAGAAATGTGGTGACAGGCAAGGCAAGACACTGGTGATGGCACTCTCCCCGCGGCTGAACGTGACGGCGAGGAAGAACACAGCTGACGGTGAAGTCGAAGGAGATGCAAGCGGGAAGAGGGGAAGAGCTGTGAAGAACCAACATGATCCCTCCCTCTCTCACTGCTCTGTTATTCAAATGATCAAGAAGAGAAGGAAAAAATTTGAACAAAATGAAAAATGACAAAAAGTGGCACAAACTTTTTCTATTATTACATAAAAGTCACAGGAATTTTGGCAAATTTTCCAAATTTTAAAACAAAATAAAACCAAACTTTTGCTCAACATTATTCAATCTTTGAACCTTTAATAAGCTTCTAGCATAGATTCCACTAAGCACTACTCTCCATTTGTCATATAACTAAAACAATTAACTCAAATATCAATTGACAAAAAAATTATGTCATTTAAAATTTAGGGTCATTATACCATTAAGTTTCCTTCCTTATTCAATTACATGGAATCAATCTATGCCTGAAACAATTAAACATGCAACCAAATCTATCTTATGAAGCAATTAAACAAACAAAGAACAATCAAATAAACCTAGCAAAACAAGATATGATTTTGCTGCAAACTAAGAACAATCAAATAAACCCAAATAAAATGAGATTTGATTTTGCTCCAAACCAAGAACAATCAAATTTCAAGTTTCACCTTTGCTTCTTGGCGACAAACTCGAGAATCCGGAAATTTCAAACCTAATTGAAATTTCAAATCAACCAAAAGTTGTTCTTGGTGACGAAGACCAATTGCCTGTTGTTTATGGGTTTGCACAGAATGGCTGAGGAGTATGCAACGAGCAACTAGGATTTTCAGCTTTGTGAATGCTTGATGCCTGACTGTCTGGCTTGAGGATTTCATCAATTTGAAATCAAATATTCTTGGGTCCGACCTTGTTTTCTTGCTTCTTTTTCTTTTTACAAAAAATAAAAGAAAAAACAAGCTTAGGTTTAGAATGGGGAGGTGATTTTAGAGAAGAAATTGAAGGATGGTGATTTTGAAGAAGTTGAAGGGTGGTGATTTAGAGAAGTCAAAGAGTGTGTGTGAAAGAAAGAATTTCCAGCCTCATTTGATCATAAAAAAAA